GCCGAGCCGTGTGCCGCCCAGTCCGCCCACAAGCCCACCGCCGAGCCCACCACCAACACCAGCACCGGCAACGAGAAGCCCACTACCGGCCGCCATCATTGCGTTGTGGTTGCTATTACTGCTTCCGATTGGCAGCACGCCAGTCGCCATTCCGTCCTTGTCAAACTTTTTCGAGAAGACCGAGTAGAGGTTGGTGGTGGAGTTCAGCTCGACCAGGGCGCGGCGCGCGCACTCGACGTCTCTAAAGTGGACCCAGGAGTGGGCGGCGTCAAACACGAGCTTCTCAAACCCTTCGAGCTGCGCCAAGAACTTGCGGCACTCGGCCTCGCCCCAGTAGAGCGTCGACGTCCACAGGACGCGGGACGGCTCGCCGAGCTCCTCGATAATCTTGACCTCGGGTTCCTTGCGCGCAAAGGTCGCCTTCATGCCTTTGAAGGTGCTTTGAATCACGCTCATTGCTGCAATGGCTTTCTCCGGGTCGGTGAGCACGACACGAAAGTTGGTCTGCCCGAACTGGACGCGGTAAAAACCCGGCAGCGACGAGCAAAAGTTTTTGATGTCGCACTTGTCGGTGTTACCCAGGGAAGTCACGTAAATGGTGCGAATGCCGTTGCCGCCACCGCCGCCGCCCGCCAAGGCGCGGTTCGGCGATGCCGGGAACAGGTTGCTCATGCCCGATTTTTGGCTCCCGATCGACGCCGTCTCCCACCGCTCACTGTCGATCGAGCCGCGTCCCCACTTTTCTCCGGCGACCGCTGCAGGGTTGCCGTCCAGCGAGCTGCGGCCCCACCGCTCTGCAGCGGCGGCGGCGGCGGCATTCGCGTTCACGTACTCGGTCTCATCGGCGGCCAGTTCGCGCCAAAAGTCGACACCGAGGTTGGAGTACCTCGCAATCTCGTCTACGCACCGTGCTGCGGCGCCTGCGTCCGTGAAGAGGGCGATTCTAATCCCTGTGTTGGGGTCGTCACGCCAGCCGGCGAAGCCGTCGCTGACCTCGAGGATGCGGTCAGTAAAGTAACCGCCGCCGGTGACGACGAGTTCCCTGGACGGCAGTGCCGATGGCGGAGTGATCCGCGGCGGCGGTGGAAGGATCAAGATGTCAGCAGCCGCTGTGTCGGCGTAGCCAACTCCAGAAGCTCGGATGTGAGAGAGGGCGTGCGAGGCGGTTTCTGTCGAAGTAAGAAGGACTGCGAGTGTGTCTGGAAAAACGGGGGTGGATGTTATTGGCATTGCGCGACGCAGGTTTGCGAGGAACAACCCCTGGGGATCTCGACCCCCAGTCATTTATCGAACGCAGTTGATGCACTCACCGTCTGAGCCAACGATCAACCGCTCGAACCCAGGCAGGCGCTTCCTCAGCAACGTCCAAAACTCGCCAAAGTCCCTGTCGGCGGGCCAGGTCGCGACGACCACAGCGGCCGCCCTGGGGTGGAACTTGTCCGGCCCTGGAGCAGATCCGCCCAGCGGCGTCATTGGCGCAAGCGGCGAGTGCGGAATGGACGAGGAGGAGAAAGAAAGTTTTGAATAGGGCGAGAGGAGCGATGCGGTAGATGGGGAGTTGAGCGGCGAAGACTGATCGGGGGAGAACGGGAGATGCGATTGGAAGTGGGCAGCTGCGGCAGTAGCGGCGCCGGCGTGCATCAGCTGCTGCTGGTGTGGGTGCTCGTTTGCTTGCATCGAGCTGCTGCTGCTGGGCGCCAGCTGCTGCTGCTGGTGCTGGTGGTTGAGCAAGCCGCCGTGGAAGTCCATGCAAGCAAGCAAGGGGCCGGCCGGCGAAAATCTAGGCCGAAGAGGAGGAGGACGGCGACAACCGAGTGCGTGCGTGCGATGAGTGAGTGGGGGGATGAGGCTGCAGAGACAGAAAGGATGGATGATGGAGAAGAAGGAGGCGGGCGGGTGTGTGGTGGTGGTGGTGATGGGGTCAGTAGTGCTGCGTGCGTGCGTAGCGTGCGTACGTGGTGTGTGGTGTTGGTTGAGGGTCGAGGGTTGAGCCGAACCCGCTCACCTTTGTGCGTCGCTTTTGCTTTTGCAGAAGGAAGAAAAGGGAGATGGCGAAACGAGATTGATTGGGCTGCTACCCGTGGCAGACCGACAGACAGACTTGCAGACAGACAGACAGACAGACAGACAGACAGACAGACAGGCTGACAGTGAGAGGGATAGGACAGACAGGCAGGGAGACAGACTTGGCATGCAAAGCGGCTTGACCAAAGGACTAAACGGTCAACCGGCAGTACGAAATCGCAAGCCCGTGTAGCAAAGTGGTATTGCGCTTCCCTTCTAAGGAAGATGTCCAGGGTTCGAACCCCTGCTCGGGTGCTTCTTCCCTCAGCTTGCTAAATGAACTTGACTGCACCACCTGAATTGCTGCAGACGCCTCGGACGAGGACCATCCCGCGCTCGACCACTAGCCAAACTCGACGAAAGAACTAATTGGTGCGCGGTCTCGTGCATTGCGATTTTGGTGGGTCAGATCTGGAGACTGCTTGATTTTCGCTTGCAGCAGAAGCATTCTAACAACAGGCTTCAGTTCAACGATTCGGCTAGCAAATGGTGATCAAACATCCAATCATCGGATATTTGATCACATTGGATAACTATGTGGCCTTACACGCTACAAGCTTATTGCTTACCACGACGTGGACAGCTCTTGAAAGGAGTGCTTCCTCGCTGTCAATGACCAACAACGAACAACTTCAGTAGTTGATTGCTAGAGGAATATGAGGTATTCATTATTCGCTATTTGGTACCGCAGAGGCGCTTTCGTGTCCGCTGTTGACTGTCTGTATGTGTAGGACGAGGGGCAAGGGGCTGATGGTAAAGGATCATGCGATGGTGGGCGGGGTGATTAAGGTGGGGATGAATGGAATGGGATTGGGATCAACTGAGAAGTGATGGTTAACCCTGAGTCTGATTTTCCCCTGAAATCCACATTCATTTCAGCACCCAACCAACCCATATCGCTGCTGGAGTTTGCACACATTACCTACACCTTTTAAGATCCTCTGACCTGTCTTCAAGAGTAAAGATGAGTTAAGATGGTATTAGGGCCGGTCCCAGTGTTGTCTACACTTCTCCGACTCTTTAACACTGTATGAGTGCTTGGAGGTCGTTTCGATCCCCAGTCTGGGTAGACCACATCAGTGTGCTTCACTCCAGCAATTTGATAGGAATGATTGCAGGAGCTTCACAGGGAGCCTGGCTTACTTCTTTGCTCACATAACTCCATGTAAGTCCCGGCCAAATCAGTGCGATTCACGGATGTTGGGAGTGCATGGCTGAATGAGCCATTCAGACTTTTCACTGGCCACTAACCCTGAACGTCGTCAACAATTTGGTCTTCTTCATCCTCACAACATTACGCCTCACCCTCAGCACACAATTAGTGTCAACTCGCCACAAAGTTTCCTCTTACAGAATGTGGACAAGACTCCTTTGCAGTTGCAGTTGACTCAGGCACCAAATGTACCCGCATCTGGTCTTGCTGCTTGTCTGACACCACTCGCAACTTTTCTCTTCAGTTCTCGCTCCATCGCTTCAACCGCCACCTCACCTGTGAGCCGTCGCTCCCTCTCCGCCAAAAATGCAGCTTGGCCATCCTCCACCACCTCCATTCCACCCTTGCCACCATGCTCCCAGGCTCCCTGCGCAGCTACCTGGACCACCTACGGCTCCGGCTCCGCCACCAGCCAGCCGTGAGCCTAACCACCGCCACCCCCTCCACCTCGTCGTCCTCCTCCCCCCCAGAGGGCATACGCACACGACGCACAAGCAACTGCAACCCCATCGCAGCCGCACGTGCTGCCTCACCCGCCAGATGCCATTGGGCACAAGGTGGTGCCTGCCACCAGCCGTGGCGGGCATGTGCACGTCGTCGATTGGTGGCTGCGCATGGGCTGGCCAGAGGTACTCCTGTGAACCAGCGACTGGTGGTGGTGGGACCGCTTCAGTGGTGGTGGCGGCGGCAACAGCGATGCTTCGCTTGCAGAGCCACCGTTGTCGATGCCATCTTCGCCGTCCTCGTCTCCCGCAACAGGTAAGTGATGGTCCTGCGCAGGCTGTGGCATCGGCGGCGGGCCCCTGTCACACAATGGTACACTGGCGCCGCAATGGACGGCACAGGCACATGGCAGTGCTACAGTGGTGGGCAACAGCGTCTGTGGCAGCAGACGGCAGGAGAAGCCCCTGGTCAGTGCGGTAAGCGGTGGTGGCGATGGGCGTGATTGGTGGTGGGTGCACAGCATGCCTGATGGGGTTGCACTGTTAACACTGAGTTTCTGTTCCACTTAATACTCAGAGTATTTGTCAACAGCACAAGCCAGCGCCCAGGTCTGCATTGGTGGGGGCTCACTCTCCCATGGGCATTGTGAGAACAATAACTGACAGACAATAGGCTTGAGTCTGTCTTGTGCCTCTTGCTGCTAACCAGTCAGTTCCACCTAACACACGTGTAGTTTTAAATCCTCCCCACTGCGCGGCTCGGAAAAATTGGAGCAGCCAAGAAGACTTGGTGACGTGAGGTTGTCAGGTGGAACTGACTAGTAAGTAGCAAGAGGCAGCAGACAGATCTGAACCTAATTCGACTGTCAGTTCTTGTGCGCGTGAGGTCCGAGATGTCAAAAGGAGGCGAAGCGCTCCTGGAACTCTTTAGTCATCAAGCCTGAGATGCGCCCAATTATTGGATACAATTGCGGACTAACTCAGTCTCCACCCTTCCACTGCACCCAATGGTCAATGAACGAACTCAAACAATTGCGCAAGGGAGCTTAATCTCCTTCTGGAGCACGCTCACTTCCTTCTGCCTCTCCATACGGCGCTCCAATCTTCTTACGCCAAGCAAATGAACAAGTACAGACTGGCTTTCGACAACCGCGCACTCAACAAGAACACCATCAAGGGTCGATTTCGTTCTGACCGACGGGGAGACAGTCAGAGTCAGACTTTGCACACTCGGCATGCAGATAACATTCATATAATGCTGTGGGAAAATCAGCATGCAAGCCCGTGTAGCAAAGTGGTATTGCGCTTCCCTTCTAAGGAAGATGTCCAGGGTTCGAACCCCTGCTCGGGTGTCTCCGTTCCAAGTTCAACGTTTCACACTGTTCTGTCTGTCCCATCTTTGGCTTATTTCTCTCTATCTTCACGAATGGCGCGGCGGATGTCCATTTTCCTTTCTCGCTTTTTTCTTCGTTTTCCTTTTCTATTTTCTGGACTTGCACCCGCAGGGGTGGGGACGACAAAGCTGGCAAGGTGGGCAATAGCATAGGTGCGGAAGCAAAACGGTTTTTTTTCCATTTTTTTTTTCTTCTTTTTCTTTTCATTCGTCGCTTCCTTCTTTTCCACCCTCCACATCCGTCCTCTCCTCCTTCTTTCCTGTCCTTTCCTTCAACCCCTTTGCCGAACCGTCAAACGCCCTCGCGTATGGGATTCAGGAACCGAAAAAACAAAAAAAAAAAAAAAAAAAAAAAAGAAAGGAAAACAAGAATTACATCACGATTTGAAGGTTTTTTTCTCTTTTTTTTTTGGTTTGTTTTCTCCTGTAACGCCAGAAACCGGGCTCGTGAGGGGGTCGAGAGGAGCGACGCACGCACAAACGCGCACACACACACACACACACACACACACACACACACACACACACACACACACACACACACACACACACACACACACACACACAAGGAAACATATAAAGATGTCGCGCGGGGGAGACAGAAACAAAGGGGAAAACAAAAAAAGGTACGTCTAACCCGAGTCGCGGCTTGCGCGATTTGATGATTGCCGTGTTCTCTAAGGGAACCGGCGAATGACGAGGTCTGGGTCCTCCTATATGATTTTTTTTTTTTTCAATGAATCGCGTCGAAAAGGCGTTTGGAGGGGGGTTGGTTAGAGGGAAGTGAGGCCGAAGAGGGACGTAAGGTGGTGGGGGACGCGAAAAAGGAACGGAAGCAAACGGGAAAAGGGGGGACTGTTGTTTCCTTACCGCGTACTCTTCCGCCGAGAGCCACATCTTTTTGAACGTGTCTGTTGTTGCGGAGAGAAAAAGAAGAGGCAGCGAGTCAGCCAGACAGCGTGAAGGGACAAAGGGAAAAGGGAGGAAAGGAAAACAAAAGAAAAAAAAAAGAAAGGGAAAAAAAGACCAAAGAAAAAGAAAAAAAGAAATGGAAAAGAAAAGGCAAAACCCAACTGAGCGAGGCGAGAATCGACCCGCCGATCCACGTCGAGTACTTGCGCTCGGGTGGCGCCGAGATTTTGATCTTGATGTCTTTGAGCGCGAGCTTCTTCACTTCGTTCAGCAGGCGGTCGCCAAACCCTGATATCGTTGATATCGCCGTTGTTGGTGTTTAGTTTTTTATACGTTAACACGGTGATGAGGCGACGCATCATCGTTACCTCTCAAATGGGTGGTCCCGCCCGACAGCACAATGTTTGCAAACAGCGCCTTCCGCAGATCCATGTCGGCCTTGTTGATCGCGTCCACCACCACCTGGTGGATCCCCGGGTATTCCAGCCCGACCAGGTCCGGGTTGAACAGGATCTCGGGCGCGCGGAACCGCTCCGGCCCAAGCCGCACCACGTTGCCGTCCGGCAGCGTGTACTCGTCCGACCGGCCTCCGAGCGCCGACGGCGACCCGGCGCCGCCCAGCACTGCCGACGCCGCCGACGACCCGCCGCTCGACAGCAACCCGCCGCCCCCGCCGCCCGCGAGCAACGACGACGACTCCTTCTCCTCCTTGGCCGGGTTCAGCGCCACGTAGCAGCACTTTTCCTTGATCAGCCGCGCGACCTCGAATTCCGCCGACGTCGCCAGGTTCAAGCCCAGCCCCTTGCGCAGCTGCAGCTGCAGCGACGACGTGATGTCGCGTCCGGCAATGTCGATGCGACGGATGGCGTGCGGCAGCGCAAAGCCTTGGTGCGTGTGGTCAGACGGGAAGGGTTTTGGGTTTTGCGTTTGCATCGGATCGTTAGCTTTCATGAAAGGCAGAGAGGGAAACGATCGATTCGATCATGCGCGGTCGCCCTCAACATTTCAACACCACACGGACCACACCACTCACCCTCATAAACGGGAACCGAGTGCGTCACACCATCCCCGGAATCCAGCACGACGCCCGTCGTCCTTCCGGAAGCATACAGGGCCAGCACAGCCTGGATCGACACAAACAGCGCAGGGACGTTGAACGTCTCGAAAAAGATCTGCGCGGCCGTCTCGCGGTTGTGCCGCGGGTTCAGTGGCGCCTCGGTCAAGAGCACGGGGTGCTCCTCCGACAGCGTCTTGAGCTCCTCGGCGTACAGGTGGTGCCAGATCTTCTCCATGTCGTCCCAGTCCGTCACGATGCCGTGCGACATTGGGTACCGGATGCGTAGGAGCCCGCGCAGCTCCTGCGCCTTTTTGCCAATGAACGTGTCGCCCTCGACGGCGCCCGCCATGATGCGGACATGCTTGGGGCGGCCGACGCTGCGAATGTTAAGGGCGGGGGAAAAGAGTGAGGCGGGGTTTGTTAAGGAGCGTCACGAACAGGGTGGGTGGTGGGGGGGTGGGATCAAATTCTGCGCGGGTGTGGATGATGGAGCAGGGGGCTCGACGTACAAAGACGGGAAAAAGCATTTCGGCTGATCGTCGCCTGCGAACCCGGCCTTGATGACGCCGGAGCCCTGCGCGAGGAGTAGGAGGAGATGGGCCCATGGGGGGTGGGGAGGATGCGGAGGAAATGGCAGTGGTGAAAGGAATGGACGATTTAGTGTTTAATGGTGGTGATGTGCGAAAGGCCGATCGCTCTCCTCGCCGTCGCTCTCTCTGTCCCTCTCTCTCTCCCTCTCTCTTTGTCCCTCTCACGTTGTCAATGACGACCGGCTGGTTGACCAGCACGTCGTCAAACTCGAGGCTCATTTACTCGAAAGGAGGAATGGACGAATGTTGTAGTGAGGGAGGGAAGTGGGACTGAGGTCGATCGCGTGTGATGGACGGGAAGAATGGAATCGAAGGGCGGCGGTCGAAGGACGACGACGACGGTGGGGGGGATCGAACGTGACGACGACGACGACTGCTGACTACGACAACGACTACAACTACGACGACGGCGACTAGGATGTAGTGATGACGTTGACGATGACGCCGATTTGGCAATGACGATGAGACGACTGCCTGCCGGGCTCCAGCGACGCGCGAGCGAACTCTGAACGAACTAATAAAATTTCAGTTGTTGACAAGGACGTGCGTGTGTGTCTGAGTGTGTGTGTGCGTTGGAAATCCTCAAAGAAGCTGGGACCTCGAGGAGGTAGTCGCACGGGGCGCTATCTTGTTCTTTTTTTTCTTTTTAGGAACAAACAGGGTGACCACACCGCGTTCATCGAATCGGGTTTCGAACTGAAGCAGGCGCCCGATCCGCTTTGTTCTTGGCCTACCCACGCTCCCATCACGGCCAACAGCATCGTCCTTGTTTTCGCCAAAGTGGCGTGAGCGGCGGCATCGCCCTTGTTTTGCTGTTCACCTTATGCAAGTGGTGTGGGGAACCGCCTGCCGATTTCTCTCACATACTGGACACCCACTACTAATAGCGATCGCCTGAGAAAAGAACATCAAATGAACGCAAAAAGATTTTTTATTTTGAAGTAGCGAAGTAGCAACAAAAACTGAGACCGATGTCACTCGTCCGGCAAACTATGTGCTAGTCCCTTCGCTGTCATGTTCACACTACACTCAAAAACACACACACGTCACACTACACTCACGAACAAGAAACTATGCTTTGTCGTTCCACGAATAATTTCTCTCCGTAACTGACGCTTCGGAGGAGAAAGATTAGAAAAAAAGGACAAACATTCTAGACGAAAAATTTCGCTAGGACGATGCCTGTGTGCGGCTCTGCAGTAGCACAAGACGAGGCGGGAGCAGCAGCAGTCGAAGCCTTGAAGGCAAGCAAGCAGATCGACAGGGAGATTCAGGAAGAGGCTGCACGGCGGAAGCAAACCGCTCGCGTCCTGATCCTTGGTCTGCTCTCTTCTGATCTCGAATTTGCAATTCCTTGGCCCCAGTCGAGGCAACTCATTTCCCCCCCGTTTCGAGCACTAATGATCGTTCTTTTCCTTCCCCGAACCTCTTTTACAGGCACGGGCGACTCTGGCAAGTCCACGGTCCTCAAACAGCTCAAACTGCTCTACTGCAGCGACTTCACCTCCGCGGAGCGCGACGTCTTTGCCGTGCGGCTCCGCGAGAACCTCTTCAACACCGTAAAGCTGCTGATCCGGTCCATGGACGCGCTCGGTATCCCGTTCGGGACCGCCGAAAGCAGCCGTGCGGACGTTGAAAGGGTCAAGGCCGCCGCCGCGGTCTTGGCGTCTTTCGAGACCCCGGGAACCAGCGCTGCGCCCATCGCCGATAACGTCGTCGACGCGCTGGAGGTGCTGTGGCGGGATGCGGGCGTGCAGAGCTGCGCGCTGAGGGGGAACGAGTTTTCGCTCCCCGATTCGTGCAATTTGTCAGTAAGAAGGGGGGAGGGGGAAGAGATAGTCGACCTGGCTTTTGACTTTGACATTCCTTACTATTAAAGCCTGATGGAGAACGCCAAGGAAATCTGCTCGTCGTCCTACACGCCAAACAACGAACACATCTTGCGCGTCCGAGTCGTCACCACCGCAGTGTCGGAGACGAAGCTGACCGTGAAGGGCGTCGGCATGTCGTTCTTTGACGTCGGCGGCCAGAAGCGCTTTCGCGCAAAGTGGGCGCCGTTTTTCGACGACGTTAACGCGATCATATTCGTTGGCTCGCTGGGCGCTTACGATCAGAAGCTTGAGGAGGACAGCAACCTCAATCGAAGTTCGTTCTTTATATTATTTCGTTGCCAAGATATCTCTTTGCCTGGTTATCTTACAATTCAAATTAACTGTTCCAGTGGAGGACTCCATCTCAGCGTTCGGCTGCATCTGCAATCACACCCTCTTGAAACACATTCCCGTCATTCTTTTCCTCAACAAGACAGATATTTTTTCAAAAAAAATCAAAACCTCACCAATCGAACGGCATTTCCCAGACTACAAAGGTAACGAGGACCAAAAATATTCCCCACCGCAT